GTGATTAGTAGTAAATCTCCAGCACGTGCTTTCAGATGGAGCGGCATTTACTACACAGAGCCGTAGATCACACACAAGCTACGCAATATCGTGTTCATAATCAGCAATGAATCGCCTGCGATTTTGAACGTGATTTTGTGTAGCTTGTCAGTGAACTACGGCACTGTGTAGTAAATGCCGCTCCATCTGAAAGCACGTGCTGGAGATTTACTACTAATCACAGGAGCGCCTTTACTGATGAGATGTGCATGAAAATCGCATTTGATTTTTTTGAACAGCCCTAATATCAAGATATCTATATTTTTTACCCAGCCCTAGTAATTATTAGCTTTCATTGTAAAATTTCTGTTCTTTACCCACATTGGAAAAAAAAGAAAAGAAAAGATGGACTTACATGTGCAGTGACTTCTGGGCTTTTGCCGCCTCCTCCTTAGAGCTGTAGCAGACGACAGCGTTGCCATGGGGAAGGTTCAGATGGAATGTGATCAGTGGACCGTGCTGCATGCACAGAGTTCGCAAGGTGGAGCCATCAATCTGTAAAACACAGGCATGACTTGTTACCCAAGAAATGATTCTGCTGTAGCTTTATATTTAAAACAACATCTAGGTTTCTACATGGAGCATTTCCTTTAATAAACCATTAATTACAAAATAGTTACTGAGAGTTGGCCATTGAGAATTGTTAACTCGATCATGGTGAAATTTAATTTACATGAGCAGGGTGACTACATTTATATCAAAATGGTTATTAAATTCAACAAAACGCAACCCATTGCCCAATATATAGCTTACAGACTAAGAGAAAGGAAAGTATGTGTGCCTGATACTTTACATTAAGCCCAACAGATTTGTTTTTCTTTCAAACTTATATTGAACATTTTTTTTATATTTGTAATTAAGGTCTACTTACTTCCTCTTCGTCGTTAGGTATCAATGTGTGCTCGGCAAGACCGTTTTGTGCTTGAGCACGCCACCAAGTCTTGTTTTACTGTAACTTCAGCAGCTCCAGGCACGTGAACAAAAGCGCCAATCTCATTGGCCGGTCAGTTTTTAACGCGGCGCGTCAAACCAAAAAAACGAGCCCGAGGCGTTTAAAAAAAAAATTACGCTTTTACACCTGCCGTTTTGCGCATCGGTGTGCACACTCAAATTGGCACCCTTTGTTTAGTCACGAGTGTGCACAAGTCTTAAAGCTTTACATTTTCTGAAATTTCTAATTCTTAAAATTAAAACCATTCAATACTTTTGATAAATCTAGTTATTTCAGGCAGAAGTGATCCAGTTATGTCTTGACCACTAAAATCCTCTTACACCGCTTAGTAATTATTAGGGCTGGGTTTTCACACAAATTTCACGATTCAATTCTCATTCACAAGCTCGCGATTCGATAAGGTTCAGATGGAATGTGATCAGTGGACCGTGCTGCATGCACAGAGTTCGCAAGGTGGAGCCATCAATCTGTAAAACATAGGCATGACTTGTTACCCAAGAAATGATTCTGCTGTAGCTTTATATTTAAAACAACATCTAGGTTTCTACATGGAGCATTTCCTTTAATAAACCATTAATTACAAAATAGTTACTGAGAGTTGGCCATTGAGAATTGTTAACTCGATCATGGTGAAATTTAATTTACATGAGCAGGGTGACTACATTTATATCAAAATGGTTATTAAATTCAACAAAACGCAACCCATTGCCCAATATATAGCTTACAGACTAAGAGAAAGGAAAGTATGTGTGCCTGATACTTTACATTAAGCCCAACAGATTTGTTTTTCTTTCAAACTTATATTGAACATTTTTTTTATATTTGTAATTAATGCAAAATGTTTTCTGCTAAAAATGCTGCAAAAATCAGGCAGTGTGAATGCTATGCCCTGCTAAAATGAGTCAGTGTATTCTAAATCATTATATGTCTTACCTGAGGTGTGAGGTTTTTGAGAACAAGCCAATTAGTTCTCCCTGAGCTGCTGTCACCCCAGCTGGAACCTGTGGACAATGATCATTTCAAGTGTCTCTCATTTCTTTAAATTCTACATCATTTACACTATTAATAGAGTTTATGTAGGCGAAAGGGAATATAACTGTGACTAACCAGAGTTGAATCTGGATTCAGAGCTACCCCAGCCTGCCAGTCTCAGAGAGCTGTTGTCCCAAGATGAGGGCTGTTTCTGGCCAGTCAGGCCAGGTGGGGGGCGGGACGGAGCAGAGATACCTTTTGAGGGGAGAGGAACCTTCCACAACTCGTGAGCCAAAGAGGTGTTGGTGACTGTGCCAGGAGACCATTTGGAGTCACTGTTTCTGGCTACAGGGAAGAAAAAAAAGGTCAAGTCAAAGGAGCATATGAGGGTCACAGGGTCACATGCAGGCCGCATGGCTATGCCTAAACAACTGCCCACCAACCTGAAGTGCTTTGTGCTGTACTGCTGAGGGAACTATTGTGGTTGGAGGCACGAATGGATGTCCAGGCACTATTTGAAGGCAGCGTGGTGTTAAGTGATGAGGATGGCCCTGGAAGAACAAAATAAATAAATTAATTGACGAAAACACTAATACATACAAATCAGCAAATTACCCTAAAGTTTAAACATTTGGGGTCAGTAAGGTTTTTTTGTAAAGTTTTTGAAAGAAGTCACTTTTTAAAAGAAGTCTGCATTTATTTAATTAAAAATACAGTAAAAATAGTAATATTGTGAAAAATAATTACAATTTAATACAACTAGTCTATTTTACTAATTTTAAAATGTAATTTATTCCGGTGATGACAAAGCTGAATGTTCAGCAGTCATTACTCCAGTCTTCAGGGTCACACGATTCTTCAGAATTCACTCTAATACAGGTGCATCTCAATAAATTAGAATGTCGTGGAAAAGTTCATTTCAGTAATTCAACTCAAATTGTGAACTCGTGTATTAAATAAATTAAATGCACACAGACTGAAGTAGTTTAAGTCTTTACACCGGTGTGATTAGAACGTTCAGTGCGTCACGTCATCAACTGCTGAATTTAAATCTGCTTTCGCGCTCTGGTTAGCGCGAGCGCTTGTCATATTATCACAAATATTCAGTGTTTTCAACCATATAATTCTTATTTTAGGTTTCAGACATTTAAATACACATAAGTACTAGCAAAACCATATATTTACAGTTTGTAAAATGCACGCTGATGTCTATGGAAACGGCAATAATGATCCTTACAAATATAATCTGACAACATGTTTTTATTGATATCATATACAGATTGTGTAGGTAACTATAAAGTTTACTCTGCTCTTCTCCCAGTTTACCGAAGACCTAATTTAACGCGTTTCAGTAGGAGAGGATGAATTTGCCTGTTGTAAATCCCACAGCTCGGATTCAGCGCGAACTAACATGGCGGCACCCATCACCCGGTATAGATCAACTAACACGGTCGATATAAAAGTGTTTAAACTACCAAATAGATTTACTTGCACGTATTTCAGAATCGGAATATCAGATATTTCATAATATAGTGAGCATGTTTGTGAATATTTTGAATAAAACAGGAAAAACTAAATAAAAGCGATCATGTGTCATACAGAGCTATTGTGGCTGCGTTGTGTCACATGACAAGCATGACGCGTCGCCATGGAAACAATAAGGCAATACATTCTAAAATAACGGTCGCCTAAAAAAAAAAAAACTCACGCTCGGGGCTCAGCTAGAATATTTTAAACTCACGTGCGAAAGGGTTAAATAATATTGATTATCATATTATAATGCTTGACTGACTGATGTTAAGAGTGTACTTTCAGATATTTATATTTATTTAATTTTTCTTTTTATCAGTCTGGCGAGTAAACAAAAAAATTTACTAGCCAATGGCGATTCAATTGCCAAGGTGTCCGTAGAGGGCTGTAATACACAAGTTTCACAATTTGAGTTGAATTACTGAAATAAATTAACTTTTCCACGACATTCTAATTTATTGAGATGCACCTGTATGCTGATTTTGTGCATAGTAATAATAAAAAAAAAATGGTATCAATATTGAAAACAGCTGCTTAATATTTTTGTGGAAACAGCAATACATTTTTACAGGACTCTTTGATGAATACACAGTTCAAAAGAACTGCATTTATTTATTTGTTTTTTAAGTGTAAACGCCTTTTCATTTTGATCAATTTAATGCATCCTTGCTGAATAAAATAATTTCACTCAAAAAAATCTTACTGACCCCAAACTTTTGAACGGCAGTATATACTGATATAGCTGGTTTAACAGATTGCTTACCATTGTTCCTGTCCCTGAGGTGATCAACATCCCGGACTGTATTAATGGAGAGATTATTAATCACACTGCCAGGAGTGACAAATGGGTCAGTTTCAGGATCAATGTTCGGATATCCTTTCCAGGGCTCACCAGGACGGAACTCTGCCAAACAAACATGACACAGTGAGCTCATTTGTGCTACAATGGTACAGCACCATGCTTGACCATCTGAGCGTCTCTGTAATATTTTGTTTCAATGCAAGATTTGATTGGAACAAGTAAAGCAGAAAGCAAATGGGTCCGAACCTGGTGGCCAGTTGACATTGGTGGAACCATGAGGTGATTTGGCACGGCTGGGCCAGACATCTCCCACAGAGCCAGGGGGACTGATGGGAGCGTTACCGGCATTGATGAAGTCATATGGACCAAAGGGTGAGTCTTCAAGCCTCAGGCCAGATGTTATAGCACCTATAGTAAAATCACATCCATCAGATTGTTCTTACACTTTCAAAACTGCCTATGAAAAACATTTTTTGTTGAGAAGTTCAGGGCTTCAAAATTATGACAAAAAACCTTATTGGTGATTATTTTCCTTGATGTTGCATTTATTATTAAATAGAATTTAATTTTTTTGTGTAGGTCAACTGCATGGCATTCTTTTACACATCCAAAACTCAATTAATTTACTGCGGTTTTATACATCAGATAATCAATGCTGTCTAAACACTCAACTTCATACTCTTAACAGCAAAAAAAAAAAAAAAAAATTAAATCACAATGTCAATTGATTACAGCTGTCATAATTTTTTTTGAATATTAACTGTGCAGCCCTAAGACTGATTATGAAAAAAAAAGAAAAGAATATAAAATAGAGAAACCCACCAGATTTGCTGGGGTTTTGATCAAGTGGCGAGTTAACGGAAATGTCCATGGCTGTCCACTTCTTCAGACGGGACTGTGGCTCCTTAAAACCAACACTACCAATGTCGAGGTTGCTTACATTCAAGTTTGAGTTCAAACCTAGAGGAATACAACAAATAAAAAAAAAAATTAAAAACCAAGAAAATACACATTCTGCCAGAAAATGAGGTTAACAACATGTTTAGTATCCAGGAATTCATATAAGTAGCAGGTTTAATAAAAAGACAATTTCATCAATTCATTCAATTTTTAATTAGAGTGCACTCAGTATTTTTTCCCTCATTAAAGACTTGATAAAGAGTACTTTTAAATCATTTATTTTGGAGACAGTGTCACAAGTCAACACTTTAGCTTTTGCGTGACAATGTTCATGTGACTATGGCAGTTGCAACAAAGCAACAAACAAAAAAATTACAGAGTGCACAATTAGGGTTGGGCTGATAGATGATGCCATCATCCATCGCCGATGGCTGATAGACATCACGATGTTGAGCCAGCATCGCAATCCCCACACCCC